TAAAGGCAACTCTATCATGAGATTCCTCAACCACTCAGCTTCTTTACTAGCTGATGCAAGAGCTATAAACTCTGCTGCCATAGTGGAATCAGCGATGCAAGTTTGTTTCTTGGAAGACCATGAAATGGCACCTCCTCCAAACATGAATACCCAACCACTTACAGAAGAGTCATCCTCTTTGTAAGTGATCCAACTTGCATCCGAAAAACCTTCTAAAACCGAAGGAAATCCACTATAAGATAGACCATAGTCTATCGTACCCTTAAGGTACCTCAAGACCCTCCTTATTGCAAACCAATGCTGTGCACCCGGGTTACTAGTAAATCTACTTAGTTTTCCCACAGCCAATGCAATATCTGGTCTTGTACTAGTCATGGCATACATCAAGGATCCAATTATCCTTGAATACTCTAATTGGGAAATTGTTTTCCCCGAATTCTTAACCAATTTAACATTAGGTTCCATGGGGGTGTTAACGGGACACTTATCAAACATATTAAACCGTTTGATCATTTTCTCAATATAATGAGATTGACTTAAAATAAGTCTACCATTGTCCCTAAGAATCTTGATGCCCAAAATGACATCTGCCTCCCCCAAATCCTTCATCTGAAAAGATGAGGATAAGAATTCCTTGGTCAATTCTACTTGTTGTAGACTTGTACCAAAGATAAGCATATCATCAACATATAGACAAATGATGACACCATGACCTTTGTCATCAAATTTGCTATATATACACTTATCTGCTTGATTCACTTTGAATCCAAAAGACAAAATTGTGTCATCAAACTTTCGATGCCACTGTTTTGGTGCTTGTTTAAGTCCATACAATGACCTAACCAATTTACACACCTTATCTTCTTGTCCTTCCAAAACAAACCCTTCGGGTTGTTTCATGTACACTTCTTCCTCTAGATCTCCATAAAGGAATGTTGTTTTGACATCCATTTGATGGATTACTAGATTATATACTGAAGCCATTACAATTAACAACCTTATCGAGGTTATTCTTGCAACCGGTGCATAGGTGTCAAAATAATCAACACCATGCTTTTGCCTAAAGCCTTGGATAACCAATCTGGCTTTAAATTTCACTATGGAGCCATCCGGTCTCCTTTTCCTAGTGAAAATCCACTTGCAACCAAGTGGTTTGCAACCGGGAGGTAAATTCTCTATGACCCAAGTGTTATTTCCCATGATGGAATCCATCTCATCATTTATAGCCTCTTTCCAAAATGCACTATCTTGGGAAGAAATTGCTTCACTATAAGTTTTTGGTTCACTATCCACATTGAAACAATATGTAGTAGTGGAACTAAGGACATCCCTAGATCCTTCAACCAAATAAATTATGAAGTCATCTAGAGGATTCCTAATTTTCCTTTGTCTTTTACTTCTTCTAACATGAGGAGTCTCATCCTCATTATTAGATGAACCTTCATGAGAAACATGTTGATCATCATATTCAACAATTTCCTTTCCTTTGGTACTAACTTGTAGATCCTTTGGTCTACTCATTGATGAAAACCGATTTTCATCAAATATTGCATCTCTTGACTCAATTATCGAATGTTTCGAAATAAAGTCACTTTGTTCTATCACATAGAACCTATAGGTTTTGCTATGCTCAGCATACCCTATAAATATGCAATCCAAGCCCCTTTCACCGAGCTTTCTTTTCTTGTTGCCGGGCACTCTTACAACTGCCCTACAACCCCAAACTTTGAGATACTTCAAGTTTGGTTTCCTTTTGTACCAAAGTTCATAAGGAGTGGAATCCTTTCCCTTAGTGGGAACACGGTTAAGTATGTGACAAGCCGTCAACATAGCTTCACCCCAAAATCCCTCACTCAAACCGGAGTAAGATAGCATGGAATTAACCATTTCTTGAAGAGTTCTATTCTTCCTTTCAGCTACACCATTTGATTGTGGTGCATAACCAGCTGTAGTCTCATGAATAATACCCAAAGATTGGAAATATGCCGGATCATAATACTCTCCTCCCTTATCTGTTCTCAATCTCTTAACAAAGGATTCTACTTGCACTTCTACCTCTTTCTTATAAATATCAAATTTAACCAAGGCTTGATCTTTGGAATATAAAAGATACACATAGCAAAATCTTGAAAAATCATCAATAAACGTAACTATGTATCTTTTATTTCCCAAAGAAGGTGTACTATAAAAGTCACACAAATCACTATGAACCAATTCTAAGATCTTAGAACATCTTTCAACTTTCTTGAAAGGAGTTCTGGTGATCTTATTAAGCATGCAAGTAGGACATTTATCAAGAGCAATATCACATGGAGGAATAAGTTCTAGTTTAGACATGAAAGACAACTTATTGTAATTCACATGACCTAATCTAGAATGCCATAAAGAAAACAAATTCATACTATTGTCATTACCAACATTAAAACAAACATCATCCAACATTACAGACTTCTCTCTTAAAGAGAGTTTAAACAATCCATGAGACAAATAACAACGTCCAACAAAAGTGCTACCCTTAGTTATTATACATCTATCTGCTTCAAAAACTAGTCTAAATCCAAGTCTATTTAGGGTTGGGCCTGATACAAGATTTCTAGAAATACTAGGAGCATATAATACATCCCTAAGGATGATACTATTGCCCGAACTAAACATCAGCTCAACTTGTCCTCTTCCTTGGACCATGATGGTAGAGTTGTTTCCCATAAAGAGCTCTTCTCCATCACCAACCTTGTGAAAGGTTTTGAACCAATGCTTCACCTTGCATACATGCCTTGAAGCCCCCGAATCCATCCACCAAGAGTCATCATCCTGCACCATAAAGATGTTAGGATCCGTTGCATTTAAATCCATACCGGAATTAAATTCAACCTCATGTAATAAATTACCTTTGGTGGGTTGGTCCTTGCTTTTAGAAGCTTGACCATCCTTGGATTTCTCCATTTTCTTCTTGAAAATGTAGCAGTCCTTCTTGCGGTGTCCAGTCTTAACGCATTCCCAACAAGCATTCTTGTTGTTGTCCTTTTGTTTCTTGGACTTGCCCTTAGAGGAATTAAAGTTCTTCCTCTTACCACTAGTTGAAGCACTAGATTTGCCTTCCTCCACCACATTAATGGTGGATGAGCTAGGATTTCCATCCTTAGCCTTCTCCATGGCCCTTATCCCCTCTTCAATTTGAAGATGGGTAGCCAAATTGGACAAAGATATGTCCTCTTTTTTGTGTTTTAAGTCATGCTTAACATCTTTCCAACTATTGGGCAGCTTATCAATAATACTCGAAACAACAAACAATTCATCAACATTGATACCATGTTGTTTCAAGTTACTATAAATACGTTGTATCTCATGAAATTGGTCCATAATCGATCTACCTTCAACAAACTTAAAGTCATTAAAATTACTTACTAGGAATTTCTTGCTAGAAGCATCCTCCGCCATATACTTGCTTTCTAACGATTCCCATAGCTCTTTAGCAGACTCGACATGTTGATATACATCGAACAAATCATCCTCCATCCCATTGAGAATGTGACCCCGACATATAAAGTCATCATTATCCCACTTCGATTTCTCACGCACATCCTCCATGGTTTCATTCTCATGTTCTAATGGCCTAGGAGTACTAATCACATAGGCAACCTTCAACGATGTAAGAAGAAAATACATCTTCTTCTTCCATCGTCGAAATTCCACACCGTCAAACTTCTTGAGTTTGACAAAGTTTGTGGTAAGTTCTTTCACACTAGACATGTTGTGTAATTAACGCTTTAGATTGTTAAACATTCAATGAAATTGCAAGAACAAATTCTAACCCTAGAATTTGAGAAAACAGAAAATTATAAGTAGATTACTACAAATTACACCACCAACCAAACACCAACAAGTTTAGAAAACACAAAAACAGAACAACCAAGAAAGACTATACTTGCCTCACTCCAAGCCAAAAGAACAACCAAGAACATGAGAATACCATGGACCACGTGAGTCTTCGATTCTTGATACTCGTCTAAGGCGTGTGAACACTTTCCTAAAGCGTTAATTTCCCCCCACAAAGGTGCTTGGGTTGAACTAGAAATACGCTTTGAGATACAATAGACGAACACTACACACTAAGCACTTAGATGTGTAGAAAGATGATCAAATTCTCAAACAAAAAACTTAAAAAATGAAGAATTATTGAAGAGATTGCAAGTTTCTTCAATAAAAGTGTAGAGATGGACAATTTTCAGAGAGGATGGTTTTTCTGTCTCACTGAAAACAAAGACCCCCATTACGATATAAAGGAAATAACCGTAAAAAACTGAAGATGAGCGAGGAGGCGCGGGCGCGAGCTAAGAGGCGCGGGCGCGCCACCACAGCCGCGCGGGCGAGCCACCATGGGTCGCGGCGCGCCAGCCCTGCACGCGGGCGCGCCACTTGCTCGCGCGGGCGCTCCTCCTCGTTCTTCCAAAATTTCAACTTTTCCAGAAACCTGACGCGATTTTGTCGCGGTTTAGGCGCGGGTCGCGCCTAACCATGGCGCGGGCGCGCCATCCGGACGCGCGGGCGCGCCTCCTAAACTTTACAGATTTTCTAGAAACTCAGCGCGATTTTGTCGCGCTTTAGGAGCGGTCCGCGCTTGTCTTTCACAAGCGCGCTAACAAGTGGAGCGATCTCTCCACTACAACACTCTAAATAATCCAACAAGAAGGAGATTAAGGAGGGCGGTCGTCGGTCCGGGCGAGTTTCAGACGTCCGAGCCGGAGAACAAAAGACCTCGGCTGGAAGAAACTCTGGTCGAGGAGATCAAAGAGAAGACCCATCCTCCTCCTGAATCTAAGGAGGAAGAAGTACAGCAAAGGACGCCTCCGGTCCTTGCAAGGTCTCCTCGGCAAGAAGCTGAGGACTTCAATGAGGAGGTCCGAAGGGAGGCTGATGCACTCATTCGGCAGCCTTCCGAGGACGATGACCTGCAGATCCTGGCGGGGAGGCCCGACCATCTGAAGGAGGTCGATGAGGGAATGCCATATTCTGCTGGGCATTCTTTCAGGACCTTCCAGTCCAAAGAGATGGGGTTTGAGAATGCCCCATTGGCGAAGGTACCTGACCTTTTCGCCGAGAACCAGCGGCTGTTGATGCAGGTAATCCTTGCCTACCTTTGTTTTTCTCCTTTTATAACTGTCGTTGCTATTCTTTACAACTTCCTTTCTTCGGCTGACATGCGCGGTTGATGTTTCTGCTAGGTTATGCACAACACCACTTTGGCGGCTGATCTTAACGAGGAGTTAAGGCTGAAAGCCGAGGAAGCAGAGGCTCGAGCTCGGCTGTTCGAGCTGAAATATCAGAAGGCCGAAAAAGAGTCTTCAGCGGCCATGGCTGGGGTCGCTGAGATGCAGGGCAAATTCAAGGAGTTTTGCCTCTGCTTTGAGCAGACCATCATTCCTTGGCTGGACGAAGGCCGTGCCCTGTTGACCGAGCATGAGGTTGATGATATTCCGAGCTTTAAGGCTCGGATCGAGGAGAAGCTGAAGAGAGAAGCGGCTGCTCGTACCGCCCTTGCTGAGGAGTTGGAGGCTGAGAAGGCTCGTCATGAGGCTGAGTCTCAGCTGCTGGTCAGCCACCTGGACTCTAAGGATTCAGATCTAAATGCTGCAAGGTCTGAGTTGCAGGAGCTGAAGAGTCAGTTGGCTGCGCAGCTTGAAGAGACTGCCAAGGTCAAGGCAGAAGCTGAGAAAGCTAAGACCGAGCTCTCAGCCGCCAATGATCTGCTTCAAGTCCGCGTCTACACCCGGGCTCAATACGAGGAGGGTTTCGACAACGGTTTCAACGTTGCTCGGCGACTGGCTTTTCACACTTGTCCCGAAATAAACTGGGATCAGGTTGAAGAGTGGGCAGCCGTTCCGAACCATCCCAACTCAAGGGTGGCGCATCCAGCTGAAGATGCGTTCTTGGCTCGCCTCGAGGCCGAGGCAGATGAGGATGAAGCTGAGACTTGTGAGGCTCCAGCTCCCGCCCCAGCAGATGCCGAAGCATAGGGACTCGGGCAGTCGTCTGCAGAATCTTGCGGGTCAACTTGCTCTTAATGGACCAACGCCGCAACTGCGTTTTTCTTTTGCCTATCTTTTGCTTCAACTTGCCTTGTTTGTGCTTCCTGCTTTCGCGGCAGCTGTGTTTCCGCTTGTGGGCGGCTGCCGATATTGTTTTGTAATTTTCAACTTTTTATTTTAATGAAGTTCAGTTTCTCAGCTCTTTTCTGTTATTTCTTCGCTTTATCAGTTCTTCGTATTTTACTTCTTTCTTTGAACACTTCTTCAAATATTTGCTAAGTATAGAACTTCGGCTAGCGAGGATCATTTCCGCTGAGACTTCACTGTTGCTGTTTTTACTCGGATGTTTTTCAACTTGTGAAAAACTGGCATAAGTATCAAACTTTGGCTGAGCCGAGGAATATTTCAGCTGTGCCTTTTCTCTATTTCCCTCTGCCCCCCCAGAAATCTGAAGATGAAGGCTTCTGAGTTCTGGAATGGTTGATCATTTTTCTCGGCAAGGCCTAGGATCTTGATTACTTTGCTCTCTTTTCTACATCTGTTTTTTAAAGTACTGATTTCCCACCTAAGAGCTTTCACTCTAGAGATGGTACTCTTGTGACACTTTCCAATTCGTCCAAGGGAACAACTATCCAAAACACCGTACCGGGGCAGCAGTCTATCTGAAGTACAAGGCATCACTATGCAATACTCCAGAATTGCGACCACCACCCGGAACTGATTCATCCGAAGTACAAGGCATCACTATGCAATACTTCGGGGG